CCCCAAAACCCCAAAACCCCAAAACCCCAAAACCCCAAAACCCCTTGAAGAGTGTATTTTATTGAAAGTTCTTCAAGTATTGGACACTTTGAGGTTCATCATAATATTTTTAGTGAATCCTTATGGATGATTTTGCTAAAAATATCATAAAAAAATTCCTAAAACCCTTCAAATTAAGCAAATATCTTATCTACTCTCACTTCCACTAAAATCCCCCAAAAATCTCTTCAGCCTCTTAAAAATTACCCCTCTAATTCCTTCCCCATCTCCCTCCTCTCTCAATGTACAAAATCTTCCAATGCGAGCAAAGCGAGCTCCGCCACTTCGTCTACCGCACCTCCTCCTTCCTCTCCAAAAAAGACACTCTCACCTTCATCAACATCTCTCGCATCTTCCGGTACCACTTCTTCACCACAGAGTCCAAACTCACCCAATCCCTCAGCATCTTCTCCAAGGACGACTTCGAGCACAAAAAAAGAAAGCCACTTACGCTGGATCACCAACATCGACACCACCATCGACCTCATCGAACTCGAAATAAACTGGCGCAGACTCTACACGCTCGCCAGTCTAAAATGGTTCGGCGACTTCATGACCCTCGTCCTTCGCCGCAGCAGGAATTTACAAATCCTGAAGCTAGATTTCAGGCTGTTGCCTGAAAAGTGCTATGAGACTTGTTGTCACTGGACGCAGATGTTGATGGACAGGGTGGAGAAGGAAGGGCTCTTTGAACTGGTCGTGAAGGGGGATAAGGCACTGGATGAGGGCATGGAGGAGAGAGTGTGTAGGTTTGAGAGTGTGTCTTCTTTGGGGCTGAGTACAAGTTTTGAGCCGAATAAGAGGATTTTTGAGCAGGAATTCCCGAATTTGGATAGGATGGAGATTGTGTGTGGGTTAGAGATGGTGGAGCCGTTGAATTATTATAAGTTTTTGGAGAGGAAGAATCGGAAATTGAGGAAAGTTATTTTTCGAGCTGAAGGAAGTATAATATTAGGAAGTTGATGATTCCTGTGAGGAAAGCTAAAAAGTATGTTTTTGAAGGGATAGATGATCCAAAGGAAAAGTATGGGTTTACCGAGCTACTTAAGGAAAGAGGCACACATATGAGAAGTCTTGAGATTAAAAATAGCTTTCTCTGTGAATCTAAGTTCTACAGGTTTGATGTAGCAGTTTTGCCAAAACTAAGAAAGATAAGTATTGATAACTGTAAAGGAACTTCAACTTGTGATATGCTACTTAGAGCTACTAACTGTCCCCAGCTGAGAGAAGTCTATATTAATAATCTGAAACTAACTGAGCCAGAAGTAATTGAAGGAATCTTTATGAATTGCTATGAGATCAGAGAAATTACCCTTATATTCCAAAGAGGAGATTGTACAAAAACATTCAACAAAGGATTGAACAATATTATCGCTAAGATTATGAGAAAGTACGCCAGATTCATGCCTCTTCCATTATGAATTTTTAACCATCTCAAAAAGATATCTGTTTCAAACCTCAACAGTGAATCCATTGATCTTTTTAGGCAGATAAATGCCATAGACTACGATGTATATAGCAAATTCCAGGTGTTTGAAGCGAAGACAGGAAAAAGGCTTCTCTAAGCTAGAAGTTTAACCAAGAATTTTGAACCTTTTAAAGTAATTTTTACCAATTAATTATCGAATATGCTGTACACGTTACTGAGCACTACATATCTGGATGTTTTAGAATTAACACTAAATTCGATATCTTCCTATATAGTGGGGTTAGATGGAAGGGAAAATACTTTAGGACTTAATGGGGCATTCTGTCCTCGAAAACTGTTTCAAACCGTTCCAAATACCTAGAAAGCTGTAAATATCCTAGTATTAATTTTTGGTTAAAATGGACTGAAGTGTATATCTACCTCTTTATTTATGGTCATTTCAAACTTATCTTCTTGTTTATTCTCTTTCATGTGGTCTATACGAGTTTAAATGATGCAAATTGGAATATTAGAGCCTGTTTTGAAAAAGATACATACGATTCAATCTTGCTTTTCTTGAGGCAGGATTATTTTAATATAAGATTCTTTTCTTTCATTTTTAAGGTAATTTTGTCTATATATTATAAGTAGGAAGTACTTTGACAAGGAGTTGAAGGCTCTTTTGCATTCAAATCTTTAGAGCTAACCTCTGTTATCCTTCCACATGAGTATTGAGTTTTTGCAGGATTCCCTAAACATACTTCTATACTAATAATTTACTTGTTCTCGAGGCCACAAAATTATTTGTCTTTACAACTCTCGACTCTGCCTCTTGGTCCCCATAAACCGTGTGGATGAACATCGGAGAATACTTGTTTCAGTTCCTTGACTTCCAGCTCTTCTTACTTCCTTTCTGCGTTGAGCTGTCTTTCAAGACCTGTTTGGGTCCTCTCGAAGGCGAAGGCGGTTTCTTGCAGCCAAAGTTTCCGAACTTGCGTCTTTCTAAATGTGAGTCATTGCATACTTCCACGAGTGTTCTTCAAATTCGGAGTGTAGCAAGTCTTGCCTCTGGGAGTTCTCGGCGTCGCAATGTGGCTGCTCGAGATCAATGTGCTCAGGTCCTAGTCCTCAATACCAAACTTTACCTCATCACTCGCTGGCTTGTTAAAATTTATTTTGGATGACTTGTCCTAAATGTGGTCAGAGTTCTTACTTTGTGAAGCTGCTTCCTCACAATGTAAGCTTTCTGGACTCTGTGTTCTTGGTTGTAACAGCTGTGGTCATGTCTGCCTACACATTATCAAAATCCTACCTTTGTCTCTGTTGTTTCGAGGAGTTTTCGACAACATCTTGGACCCGAACTGCTTCATATTGGCACAGTTGCCCACCTTCGACAGCTTAAGCTTGGTGCCAGCTGTAAACTTGATGATGCTGTTGTGGAAACTTGTTGACAACGAGATGGTATCGCCTTGTGCACTCTTATGCTTAGTGAGAGTTGAGATTCCGTGTTTGTTGTTCTTGATGTTTTTGAGTTGATGAGCAATCAAACTTGCATGTTCTGCGTTCCGCTGCTTGCTAATTTCTATAAGCACATTGTCTAACACTAATCTCGTATTGATAATGTTCCCAAACACAAACTTTTTAGGAAATGAGTTTAATCTACAAACTTACTGTTGATAACATTGGTTCTTGACTGAATGAGTTGTATTAAGTCTCGTCTTGAGTTCATTGCTGATTGAATGTGGCTAATCTTATTATATCTTTCAAGCAAATCTCAAAATAACGGGGTTTTGGGGTTTTGGGGTTTTGGGGTTTTGGGGTTTTGGGGTTTTGGGG